TGAGCATTGCTTGTGGAATTTGCTTTGATATGTGACTGTGGGATTAAACTTCCATTCAGTCGTCAATATTGAAACTTGTTTATCAGACCTTCAATTATTCACTCATTCATTCGTTCATTTATTCATTTTTTTCATCTATTCAAAAATGCTTCTTTTGTGATGCCTTCTTTATTATGGAGACGTAACGAGTTGACGACGCTGGCACTGATGGCGATCGTCGTCCTCATGTTAAATTCATTCAGAAAAGTAAAAATAAACAAAACAATAGAAACAAATAAACAACATCAACAACAAGAATAACTACAACATCAGCATCAACAACATTAACATCAGTATCAACAACAAGAACAACTACAACATCAACATCAACAACATCATCAACAACATCATCATCAAAGACAACAACAACGCAGCAGCAGCATAATTTTCATCACAAATATGATCCCAGCATTACAAAGACTTCTCAATGAGTGCTGAGTTATTGAATTTTCATGGAAACAACTACTTTTGTTTGTGAGTTGGTTGTTGTGTTTGATGATGGGGATGATGAAAAGTTTAAAAGCATCGTCATCATCATCATCGTCATCATCATCGTCATCATCATTGTCGTCATCATCATCATCATCGTTACAACCGGCTCGACAAACGTAGATATCACGTTGTTATTGTTCTGTAATTAGGGAAGCATTGATAATAATTGCGATGAGGCTACCAAAGCACTGCCTACGTCATAATTTACGTGATTCAATGTGTGCGTGTGTGTGTGTGTGCATGTGAATGTGCATATGCGCGTCTATGTTTGTGCGTGTGTGTGTTTGCGCTTCTCTTCTCACACCCATTCATAAGAATGACCAATCACACGACTAAAAAATTAAGCGACCAATCAAGCAGACAAACGACTAATCAACCAACGAGCTAACAATTTGATGAATATGTCAGCCAATCAAATTGAACTATAAATCAATCAGCCAATCAAAATGAACTATAAACCATTCAGGCAATTAAGAAATTCTTGAAGAAATTATGTCAATTGATCAACCACAAAATGTCCGTAAAGAGGATAAAAGAAGGAGGAGAAGGATGTAAAGGTTAAAGGTTAAAAAAGGTCAATTACACTTTTCCAAAGTTTAGAGGAATGAACAACACGCCAAATGACGCATAACACACGAAGCATGTGACAGTCGGGGATCTTTTTGTCATATTCGAACTCGGTTACTGCGAAACAGCACCAGGCGACCTTAACCACTAGGCCATGTAACGAACATGATGATGACGACGATAAAAATGATGAAGACGATGATGATGATGAAGACAACGATGATGATGAAGACGACAACAGTTAAGCAATGAGAATAGTAAAGACAAAGAAGTTAAGTTATGAAAGAAACTAAGGCAGGCGTACACACAAAAATGCGCACATATTTACAAATATACGTACGAATTAATACACACAACAGATGAATGGTCTAAATTAAGCCATAAATACAAAAAAATGCTAACACGGGAACACGAAAAATAAGTGGAAAAAAATAAAATAATAAGAAACGAACAAAATAATAACGATACCAAAT